TCAATGATTGTTGTGTTTTTTTGCCGTCATTAAGTGTGGAGGTGATTTTTCCAGTGCAATACATAACTAGGACATCAAGAATCACTTCCAAAGGACCTCCACCCCTGTTCAAAAGCACCTCTCAGTTGCCTCAGAGGTGACTTGGTTGGCCCATGTGCCTAGGATCTCTTGTGTGGAGGAATCGCCCCACCGTGAATCCACCCTATGTGCAGACAGCTGGGATATATGATGGGCAGGGCTGAAGGAGGTCTGTCCAGGCTAGACACTGGCCTTGCATGTCCAAGATTACATCTATCTACAAGCTCCTTTACCAATCATGAAGTAAAATGTAAACATTAGACCCCATTTTACTATGGTGGAAAATAGGAAATACATAGAGTCCAGGGAGAAGCCACAGGCTTTTAGACTTTGAGTTTGCCAATCCCCCATGAAAATTTTCTAGAAAATGCTGAGCCTAGAAAGAGAAACAACCTGGTTGTAGTTCATTGGTTCTTAACATTGGATGTACATTGGGGTCACGTGGGAGCTTTAAAAACTACTGCTTGACTCCACTTCTAGAGATTGGATTTAATTGGACTTTTACCTGGGTAAAAATCAAAACAACATAATAGCCTGCCCACCACGCCAGCTGATTTTATGCACTTCTGGTGTTGAGAACTACAACTCTAGACTCATCATCATCATCATCATTGTTCTTGGGCAGGTTTCCAAAGACTCTAAATAAAACCTAGTTGGGGTGTGGGATCAGTAAAAATGAGGGAAGGCCAGTGAGGGAAGACACCAGTCTCCGATGATCTCATAAATAACAACCATGTTCTACATTACTACAGATCAATTCACCAAAGAGTAGACTATGTACCACTGGCGATGTGATGTGGGCTGGTCACGATGTTCGATAATGCCGAATCTCAGAATAACCCAAATTATTCCCTTTTCAAATCTCCTACAGTCCTCTCATTACACACAGGAAAAGCCTGTTGGGTGCTAGCTTGTCTTTAACAACTCTTCAACTCTTGCCACTCACCAAAATTCAAATGTCATGGATCTAAATTCTTGTCCCCATAGCTGCCAGGTGAGCGAGGCATAGAACTTATGAAAGAGTCACATCCCAACTTACCAGGAGAAAGCTGAGTCTTGGAGATATTTGGTCACTTGCCCAAGGACTCAGGTCACTGTTCCCCAACCCCTGCAACTTAACTTTTAATGAAGAAAATTGTGCCGATAGAGTGTGTCCTCTGCCATATAACCAGGAGATGCACATTAGACTCTATTTCTTACTCTGATCTCAGAGTAAGAGCAAAAGGAATCTCGCTGGGGGTAGGGGAGGATGCATGGAAGGTGAGAGAAAGAATGAGTCATGAAAAAGACTGAGACTTGGTTCAGGAGACAACTTTCAAAAGTTTTGTGGAGAAGGAATTTGGTTCAAAACAGAGAGATCTTTCTAATACCAAAGCTGCAACAGGCTGTGTCAGAGACAGCCAGGGTGAAGAGTCCCCTCCATCAGCCTTTCATTTGCTTAAGGTATTGTCTTTCTTTGCCAGTGGCTTTCCTCAAATGTGTAGATTCTTGACTGCATGCTCATGTTCAGGGACAGAATTCTCTTGCATACCAAGGAACGGGGGACTCCTAAAATGCTTCCCATCCTGGGATCCTAAATTGTCTTCAGGCAACTGGGAGAGGCAAGTTAGCTTCCTAGCTCTTCTCGTCGCCCTCCAATAACACCAAGCCTTTGAGCTTCAGGATGGGGGAAAAAAAGAACCGAACCGGATGAGGAGATTGAATGTGAATCCAGATGAAATCCTGCAGGAAATGTTTCCACCTGTTACTGGGATGGGACTCACTCATGGCCAACGGCAGGTGTCCTAAGCCTTCTTGCTGAGCTTAGAGTCTGGCCACTTGAGCCACCACTACTCAGGGCAGAGAACCAGCAGACCACCTGGGTGCTTGTTAAAAAGGCAGATACCCCAGCCCACCTCCTGGTGTGATTGTGTAGTTATAAGCTGATTTTGATGGTAGAGACCCATGGGCTACATTATGCCCAACACTGACCAGGGGTGTCTGAGGCAGCGTGTCCCAGGGAAATGTGGGCAATGTGATAGGTCGATGATGGTCTTGGCCAGGATGTGGGGGTGAATCCAGGAGACACCAGAGTCCTTTCCCATTGGATGTTTCTGAGAGAGCAGGAGGGCAACCTAGGAGTCGAGAACATGAAACAGTAGACTCTAGACATTTAGAATCTCATAAACATAATCTCTTATTGATAATTGAATAAAAGAATCTTAAAATAATAGAACACAATAGCAGTAGAGCTTTGTGGTTAAAAAATTAGTCTTTAGGGCCTGCCTTCTTTACTGGGTAGCCAGACAACTGACATCAAGTTACTTAACCTCTCTGAGCCTGTTTCCTCTTTCATGAGCTGGGCATACTGGTAGGTATAGTATAATGCTTCCTCAGACCGTTGTGACATATAAATGAGTCAGCATTTAAAGGACCTGGTGCAGAAGACTAAATGTGTGTGTCCGCACAAAATTCATATATTGAAATCTAATCCCTCATGTAATGGTATATGAAGGTGAGGCCTTTGGGAAATGATTAGGTCATGAGTAGGAAGCCCCCCTGAACGGGATTAGTGACCTTACAAAAAAGACCTCAGAGAATTTCCTCACCCCTTCTACCACGTGTCTATGAACCAGGAAATAAACTTTCACCAGATGCCGGACCTGCTGGCACCTTGATCTTAGACTCATCAGTCTCCAGAAATGTGAGAAACATTAATACACGTCTGTTGTTTACAAGCCATCTAGTTGATGGTATTCTGTAATGTAGCAGTCCAAAGGGACTAAGACATACCACGTTGAGTCTGGCACATGGTAAGGGCTCCTGACGTTCTTATTATTGTTAACAGGGTCACAGAACCTTAGAGTTAAAAGTGATCACAGAGATCATATAGTCAGTCTAATGCCCATGTAGTGACTCCTGGCAGGAGAAGAATCAACAAAGGGAGAAGACACTGGATGTGGGTGGGGCTTCCCCATGCAGCATCCCCTCTCCTCCAGGATGCCTAGACCCCTGGTTGCTGCCCAGCTGCGAGAAGGGGCACGTTAACCATGGAGGGAGTTTGGAGGTCCAGCTCCTACAGATTCTCCAAACCTGAGAGCCTCAACTTTCCACACTTATCCACACTCACCTTGTAGAGCTCGTGGCCCAGCTGTTGGCCAGGCAGGCTGGGCTGAGGAGGGTAGGGCTGCATCCTCCCTCCCCTTGCTCTGGTGTTTAATCAAAACTGTATTCAAAATATGATTCTGGGAGATTATACCGGGAGATTTGCAGGAGGCTCTCAGCGGGGGCAGAGATGGCGGGAACAGATTGCCACTGGGGGCCTGAGGCTGGGATAATCACAGGCTCAGACGTGCCATTCTCAGGCCCTTCTCCTGGACCCCTGGAGCTCACCATCAGCCCTGGAGGAGACACTGAGCACCAGGATGGAGACTAGAACGTCCTGGTAGTTTACAGCTGGGGAACTAAGGGGAGAAGGGCTTGTCCAAGCCACATAACAAGGTGGTAGTGCAATTGAGAAGCTAAAGCAGGTCTCTGGGATTGCTGGCGACCCTTTTCAGCCCTCTCACACCCACTGTCTCCAGCCAACCAGGCTCAAATCTTTGGGACGAACTTAGCCTGCAGGCTCCTGCTCTGGGCTAGGGAAGGTGGGGAGAGGCACTAGACTTCCCAGACAAGAGATGTTTCTTGTAGCTGGAGAGATAACCTTCTAGGGTCCTAGGTGGTAAGATAAGGGCAACCCCGGAGGGCCTCCTTTCCCTAGGGCTGAAAGGCTGGAGGCAGTGTGCAGGTAAGAATCCCCCATCCGCCACCCTGGGAGCCCAGTCCCTGCTCAACCACGTGGCCTGGGTTTAGGTGGGTCCTTTCTCCGATCTGGCCTTCAGTTTCCTGTCTCCAAGTGTTGACTCAGTGTGATACTAAGGGCTCCTCTCCCTTCCACAAAATGTCTATTCCTGAGCCCCTAGGAATAAGCCTCTGCCACCTCCACAGTCTCCGGAGGGGTCTACCTGGCCCCCCGGGAGGGGGCGGGGTCGAGAGCGCCTTGAAAGAAACCTCCAGCTAATGCTCTTTATTACAAGCGTTAATCCCGCAAAGCCTACTGGAAATAATGTTTATCTTTTCGCAGTTTAATTTTCCGGACCCTAAGCCGCGGGTCAGCGAGGGCGACTGGAGTGTCCCCGGGGAAGCTGGGGGTGGGAGCAGCTGTTGCCCAGGAACAAAACGAGAGCAGGGAAGGGGTCTCCCAGAGGAAGCGGAGAAGGGAGGGAGGGAGGGAAGCTGGGCGGGCGGGAACCGAGACGGGGCACCGGACCCTGAGCGGAAAGCAGGGGTCGGTGGTCTCCCCCGCGGACCTGTGTGACGCTGAGCCAGTCCCCTTCCCTCCCGTCTGGCCTCGGCTTCCTCACCTGAAGAAGAGGTTTGTGTTTTTGTAATTCATGATCTCGAAAGACCCTTCTGCCTCCTAAGAGTCTTTGCTACAGAAAAGCAGAGGGGAGGCTAGGAGGTGTCCACCTCTCCCCTCCTCAGTCTCCGAGGGTCTTGAAACCTCATGCCGACGAGGTGCATGCACCCTTCTCGCCCCGGACGTTGGTGGCTGCATCCGCGCTGGCTTGGAAGGCCTCCACCCAGCTAGGGTGGGCCGGGGAGACACGGTTCCCCAAAGATCCGGCTCTTAGGCGCGCACCCCCGCGGCCTTTCCTCGCGCCCTCTCGCCCCGCCCCCACCCGCCCCCCGGAGCCGCCCTCTAGGGCACAGCCCCGGGTCCCTCCTCCCCCAGAGCAGCGGTGCGCCCACTCGCTGGCTAAAGCCGAAGCCACGAGACCCGGGACGCAAACTCGGGCAGCCCCAACTGGCCGGCAGTGCGCCCGCGCCTTTGAATCTCTCCGCCCAGCCCCCACCGCCCGACCCCGCTGGCTAGGGGGACAGAGCCCCGTCCCTGCAGGTCAGCTCCCGTTGGTTGGCCTGCGCCAGAAGCGTTTGCACTTTTGCTTACTCGGAAAGAATGCCCCCTCGCCCCCTCGCCTCACGCTGACCTGGGAAACTGACTTCAGGCGGTTCGGTTCTAGGGGAGGAGCGCAGTGCCCCATCACCTACCCCCCCCCCCCCCCCAGTAAACTTATAACCCAAGTAGGAACCCGGAAACAAATGCAGCTTCGGGACAGACATCCTGACATCTCCCACCACCTCCCACGCACATGAACCAGCGTCGTGAACCCGGCCCTGCGGGTCGGTTCCGCAGCGTTGGGTCCGCTAAGCTGCAGACGCGGCCTTGTCTGTCTCCTTGTCAGTTTCGTTCCCTGCGGTTAAGGCGACTGCTGTCTGCAGCCCGAGCGGTGCTGTCCCCCCAACCTCTGAGAACCCCTGGCCACATTCCATCCTTGCCTCCACCCTGACCTCTCCAGGCACCCCTGGCGCAGACAGGCCACACAGCGTGGGTTCCGATTGATTATTTTTAAGGACAGAAGGGGTGGGGAGGGGGAGAAGACGAACATGGTTCTGAGGGGCCAGATCAGCGATGAAGTTACAAAGTGACAGGGCGGGGTGAGGGGCAGGGGTGAGCAGGAGAGGAAGCGTGGCCCTGTATCCAGAGGAGGAAGGGACGCTCGGTAGAGTCAGCGCGCAGCGCAGACTCGCCCAGCCTCCCAGTCGGCCTTCCCCCGTGTGCCCTGCCGCCTCCTCTGTGGGATCTGCTAGGGTACCAGTCTGCCCACTACCCCCAGCTCTGCATGCAAGGACAGCCGCTAGGAGGGTTTCTGCGTGTCTGTCTCTTAGGTGAAGTGAGAGCTTCTGGTCCCTGGCAAGGTCTCTCAGCTTCTTAAGGTGGAAGTGGGTTTGAAAAGTGGGGCCCATTTCCAAGATTCTTCGGCAAATGGCAGCCACTGCGCTAACCTGCTGAGAGAGGAAAGGTTGATTAAAACCAGAAGGCGTTTCCTGGCAATTCTTAGGAAACCAGAGGTCAGCATGCCTCACGGGAAGGCAAGCAATTTGCCTGCCCAGAGGTAACGTTTGTACCCATTATGTGTAAATTCAAATAATAGCGTAACCCACTTTTCTAAGCCAGTAGCTAATCCTGAGAGATATTACTAGAAAGAGCAGAACCTGACAGTATTTGCTAGAGGCTGCCTAATGCTTGAGGAACATCCCTTTGTGGGGTGAAATTCCCTTCTACCAGGTTAACAGCCACAGAACCAGCTATGGCTGGCCAGGGGACACTGATCCACAGTCACCGCTTCCTTGGGGATGATCCCTTGGGGATGAGTGTTCTCTAGGGACAGCACCAACCCTGGGCTTGAAGTTGCTGAACTCAAGGTCATGTCTACACTACTTAGGGGTTTTAATGGCCACAGAGAGGGCTGCAAGCTGGACTTAAGCACTGACCTTAAACCCATAGTGTGTGTCTGGCCCACCCCCTTAGAGGACTGTGAAAGCCCTGGTGCCTGCCTAGCCCTAGAAGACCCTTGGAACCAGCCCAGCAGGGGGTCAGCCGGTCTCCTCTCAAGGCAGGCAGGGGACAAGGGCACTCGTGCTAGTGCTAGAGGAGCGTGCTCACGCACACCTGGTGCAGCGATCTAGGTTGTCCATCTCCGCAAGGACTTTCTAAGTGATCCTAGGTAAATTACTGTCTCCCTTTTAGTTTAATACTATTATTTGGCTTGCAAATGAGGGAGCGCTAGAACTTTAATCTCCAAGATTCCCTTTGAAGGAGCGCTGTGGAAAAATGTCACGCCAGGCCTGCACCTGAGTCGGGAGAGGTAGAGAGGGGGCGCGATGGCTGGGCGGGGCGATGGGTGGGTGTTTTTAGGACAGACACCCCGGCGCCGTTGGGGGTCCACTACCTTCTGCTCCAGACGGGTGCTGGCACTGCACTGCAGGCTCCCTCCTCCACGGGCGCGGCGCACAGTTCAGCGGTAGCCCCTGCAGGGCAACCCTGGAGTTTCCAAACGCTTTGGCTACTCGGGAAGACTCCTCGCACGCGGAGTCTCCGGGGCCCGCGGGTCGCCCGGTGGAGGCTGGAGGCTGTACGGGAATCATGTGGCTCTCAGGACTTCATGGCCTGGGCCGGGTTGGGGGTGCACCTTCGAAAGCGCTGGCTGCCGCGGTGTGCGCCAGAGACCAGATGCGCGGTTTCTCGCTGCATGGGTAGTGCAGGGTAAACCTCGGGCCGCCGGGCTCCGCCGCGAGGAATTCAGCTTCTCCCGACTCAGGGGGCTTATGGAAGGAGAAGCGAGATGCCGCCAGGCCGCACTCCCTGCGCTCCAGCCGACCCGCTTGCGCCGGGGCGCATGGCCGGGACAGCGACTGCGCGCTCTTATGGAACTCTGCCAGCCTGTCCGCGGCTGTGGCCACTGCCTCCTCTTCTTCAGCTTCCTCCTCCTCCTCCTCCTCTTCCTCTAGGTCTTCTAGGTCACTCAGCCTGAGCCCCCTGGCCTCCTGGCTAGCAGTAACGTCTGCAGGAAATCAAAAGCGAGTGAGAAAAGCCCCAGGGCCCAAGGGAAATCCGCGGGAGTGCCCCTCCCTGAGAAGCTTTTAGCAAGGCGCGCCCTGCACTCGGGGCATTCGCGTTGTAATTCACCAGACCTTACACTTGCCCCAGGGCTGGCCGCCTGCCCCCACCGCACCCTTCGCGGACTCCTTGTCTCCCAAGAATCCCCACGCCAAGCAAACGCTCGCCACTTTGCACTGCCCAGTCCTGGGTCTCAGTTTCTCAATTGTAAAAAAGGGGTTGGAGAGACAGTTCATACCCACAGGTGGCTGCTGCTAAATTATTTAACTCAATAAACATTCAGTGAGCAACTATGTGCCTGACATCATTCGAGCATTAGGCATTTAGGGTACACGGCAATAAATGGCAGCTTCTGGTGGAGGCGCCATTACAGAGGTTAGACAGATGTCGTCGATGTACACTTCCCGTAGTGGTAGGTATAGCAAAGGAAATAAAACAGGTTGGTGTAACAGAGACTAACTGAGAGGCTACTTTGGCTTGGGGGAGGAGGAAGACCTTTCGGAGGTAACACTTTGAAGTTGAGAAGAAGCCGGTTTTGTGGGGAATTCGAGGCAGAGGGAAGCGCATTGGCAAAGGCCCGGAGGCACGCAGAGAAAGCTAGCGCAAGGGTAGGCGAAAGCCCCTTCCAGTAAAACCTATAAAGCGGGTGTCGAACGTTTTCGGTACCTTTAGTGTCACCGTTGAGGCAGCCCAGCGATTCCTCGGCGCCGCCCTCTGCCTTCCTGTCCTCCGCACCTTTGTTCTTGGGCGCCCACGTCATCTTGTTCTCCTTCTTGAGGCGCCGGCGCGCGTTGGCGAACCAGGTGGACACCTGGGTGAGGGTCATCTTGGTGATGATGGCCAGCATGATCTTCTCGCCCTTGGTGGGGTAGGGGTTCTTGCGGTGCTCGTTGAGCCAGGCCTTGAGCGTGCTGGTGGTCTCCCGGGTGGCGTTCTTCCGGCGCCCAGCGCCGCTCAACTCCACCGCGCCATACCTGGGGGAAGACCCCAGATCATGTTTTAGGATGGGGACAGGGGCTGCGGGCAGGGCAGGGGACAGTCTGTGGCCTGGAAGTGAGGTTCCGCACCCCCTCTCTTCCCTCCCGCGGCATCCACCCCGCCGTGGCAGGGAAGGAGGAACGACGTGCAGTGCCAGCCACCAAGGTGCCCCACTCCTTACCGATCATATTGGTACTGCCCCAGAGTCGGCTCATAGGAATAATAGCCTCCAGGCTGTGCCAGGCCAGCTGTGAAACTTCCCGCAGCCTCCTTAAATTCGTACTGTGGATTCTGGTGGGAGGGGAAAAGAGAATTCAGGACTATGTATTTGGAGAGGAGGAAAGCGGGAGAGTAGCTAAGGGCGTGGACTCTGGGGTCAAGTTTGGTTAAATCCCAGTACCACTCACATTGGCTGTGTGACCTTGGGCACAGTTGTTTAATCACTCCGTGCCTCAGTTTCTCCCTTGGTAAAGTGGGGACAACAATGCACCTATAGGTTGTTGAGGAAGACCATGCTGGTGGAGCGCTTGGCAGAATCCCAGCTGCAGAGTAAGCAGTGCTTAAATATTAGCTGGTGTGATTACTGTCCCCCCAACACACCAGCTGAGGCATTTCCTCAATTTACTCTCCTTCCGGGGCTACTCCTTGATCATGTGCATCTTTATGGCTTTGGGTAAAGTATTTGAACCCCTCGGCACCTCAATTTCCTCATCTGTAAATTGAGAATAGTGATGAATTGCCTACCTCACCGAATTAATAGAAGTGCAAATGTTTTCTAAACAATATGGAGTTCTGCAAACTGTAAAGTGCTGTAAAGATGTATTTTTTTTTTCTTGTACATAATCCTAACCATTTCCTTTCCTCGGAGTTGTGCATCTTTCCTAGATTTTCCCTGCGTTTCACCCACAGCTCTGGCTGACTCATGTCCCCGAGGGCTGCATGTCCTGGTTCGCGGCCCCAGGCCCCACCCGGATACTCACCAGCGCCCCATACAGCGCGTGCGGCTCCGGGCCGTAGGGCAGGTAGCCGGGGTAGCTCTGGGCAGTTGCAGCGGCCGCGTAGGGGGCTCCATAGATGCCCAAGGCGGCGCCCAGCTCGGGCCGCGCACTGCCCAGCAGCCGGCTATCGTAGGGTGCGCAGCAGAGAGCGGGCGCCGGGGTGGAGCCCGAGGCCACATCTGAGACTGAGCGCGGGCTGGATTCGCAGCAAGTGGCGCTGGAACTTGCAGACACCAAAAACTACGGGGGCGAGAAAGGGGGCACTGGAGGTCAGAGGCCGGCACCTCCCGCTGGCAGGAGCTAGAGGAAAGGTGGGAACTGTCCAATCGCTCCTTCATTCATTCTACGTTAACTAATTGCCACCATGGGCTGAGCATTCTGTTAGCTGCTGGGATGGCAGTTATCCGATAGCAATTTATCCAAACTGCTCTTATAAATGCGCCTAGGCCATTGCTAAGGCTCCAGAGTCCCAGGGGGTCCAAGAAATGTGAACATTCTGAAACCCGACTTAAAGATGCCAAATCCTCCACCCCTTCTCTACCCACTTCACAGGATCCTACAAAGATGGAGCTAGAAGTTAGCCTTAGAGGCCACCATCGTCTCATTCCTAATCCCATTTTCTAGATAGGAAATCGAGGACCAGAGAGTGTATGAGACTTGTCCAAGATCACACAGCAGGTCAAAGGTCGAGCTGGCACTAGATCCCAAGACAATATACCTGGCACTCTAGAGAGAAGCTGGAGAACAGTGGTGGATTTCTCCAGAACTGTCCCAAGAAATTTCAGTCATTACACAACACCCACCCTGGATTGGAACCAGAGAGCTTGGACTCACCCAAGGAAGGGGTAGAATAAGAACAAAGGTCAACAAACGAACAACAATATGGTGAGATGGACCGCACTCTGGCCTTGAAGTTTTTTCCCATCTGTGCAGGAGGCCTGACTGGAAGATCCCTGGGGTCCCACCCACCTCACTACACGCGTGGTCAGAGTGCCCACGTTTGGGGTCACACGATTTTCCAGCATGCACGCGGGAGCGAAACGTTCTCATTCAGGGATTGGGGATGTCAGAGGAGGCGGTGGTACATTACCCTGGTCCTTGCTCCCTCTGGCTTCCTCTGGGGACACGAGAGGAGGAAGCTTACGGGCAGGCGTGTGCACCAGACGTCCCCTCCACCCAGTCTGCCCTTCTGCTCCATGGACGCGCCTCTTACCTGGGAAGCGCCGCCGTATGGGTGTCCAAAGTGTGGGAAGGACATGGTGGCTGTCCCTGGCCCGCCTCCCTCTTCCCTTTCGAGTTCCCGTCTCAGCCTAGCTGTTCGGCGCACTCGGCCGTGCAGCGCCTCGGTTCCTTACGCGGCTGCGGGTGCCCAGCGCCAGTTCCTCCGCCCGCTTGGCGCGACTGGAGGCAGAGCCGAGGGCAGCCCAGCTGCCGAGCCTTGAGCTCCGGAAGGCGCCCCTCCGGCCCGTGGGGTCCCGAAGACAGAAGGGCCCATGGATGGGCAGGGGAGAAAAGAAGGAGCGGGTTCCCAAAGGCGCGCGGTGTCGAGGTGTGGCGCGGCGCTGCGCGGGGCTGTGAAGCTCCCGAGGTGTCCCAGTCCAAGGTGGCCAGAGACTCAATGTGACGTCACGGTAATCCCGGGCCGCCAGACGGGACCCCGGGCCCCGGGGCCCCGGGCCACCAAGCGTGCCAAGCGCAGCCAGCCCGTGCGCGCGTGCACTCTCACCCACACTCGCACTTGCTGCGGAGGTTTGTGCAGCTGGTGAGGAGCGTCAAAGACCCTGACCCTCTCTGCTTGGCGCTGAATCCTACCCCTTTTCGCCTCAAGCTCACGCGCGCGCGCACACATACAATCTCTCCAAATTACCCGGGAGAAGTAGGAGAAACGCCTCCCTCTGCGCCGCGCAGGCCCCGGGCGCAGCGCGCTCACCTCCTCCCCTGCGGCCCCAAGGAGGCGAAAGGCAACCGGGGCCGCGAGGGAGGAGAGAATACAAAAGAAGAGACAGGAGAAAAGTGGGGGAGAAAGGCAAGAGGGAGAAGGAGGAGGGGAGAGGAGAGAGATGCGGAGTCTGGTGAACAGAGGCGCGCGGGGGAGGAGGAGGGAACTGGGGTGGGCGAAGGCTGGGCGGAGGCTAAGCCCTGGCAGGTGGAGGAGGGCTGAGGCTCCGGGATGAGCCTCCTTGGCTGCAGGAAAGTTTGCTCCCGCCACAGGCCCGGGACTCCTTGGAGCAGCACCAGGCAGCGTCGGTGGATCCCACTGGCCCGCCCATCTTTGTCCTCAGGGATCTGGTTCCCCGCCTTAGTCTCCCCAGGACTCTGCCCAGATTCTGGCTCGAAGCCCTGACCATGGCCAGGGCCTTGACCTTGGGGCTTCTCTGCAGCCGCTTGGCCCTCGAGTGGGCAGAATAGCGCCCCCTCGAGGCTGCGGTTCAGGATCCCGCAGATACGGTCTGGACACGCGCCACGTCTGACCTCGGCATCTGCAGACTGCGGGCTAAGGCCCCTGGGCGTCTCCTCGAAGGCTCGGCTCGGCTGCCTTGCGCGCGCCGCCGGCGGTGTCCGCGGGGGAGCCAGGGAGCCTGAGGAAGGCGCCCGGGCCGGGCTGCAGCCGCTGCGCTCCGCTGGGGGTGGCGCTGAAGAGCCGCAGTGGAGCGCTCCGGGAGGGCGGCCCATTCCCTGCGCTCCGCCCCGACGCCCGGCTGGGCCCAGCGGTCTGGCCACCCCGTCACCCCATCCCAGGGGTCCTCAGAGGGACACTGATGGGCGGGGAGGCTCGTCGATGCCCGGGAGGGGGCTGCGTCCTCTAGGCCTGGTCCCTGGCAGGAGACCGCCAGTGGGTGAGCTCCGTAGGGTCTGCACACCTGGAGCCTCCATCCCCAGGCCATAGCCCCTTTTCTGCGGGCCTCCGATCCACGATTTCTGGGGGTGAAAAGGGACTATGGGTCTGATGGGGGAAGGTCTTCGGCGGGTGATGCCGGGATCCGGTGGGATTTGCAGGCCAGAAACTTCAGAAAGCCTCCTCTTTCACCTCCAAGCTTTATAAGATTAATTAATTAGTTGCAACTTCCCCAGGAGCCAAGGGGGTTGGCTCATGGGCCCAGTTTTCTTTTCTAGTTGAAACGCTAGAACGTGTGGCCCAGAGGAAAGGAAAAGCTAAGGCTTCTTGCAAGGCGAGGAGGAAGGGCAGAGACAGGGGCAAGGTCTGGGGTCCTGGCCAGGGAATCCCCCACCCCCTAGTTTGCCTCTGGCACCTTGCAGAGCAGACTGGTAGTTCCGGGAGCCAGTGACCTCTTTAGAATGACATCTCCTGAGCGCTGGCTTTTTTTTTTTTTTTTTCTCCTTTTTTTTTCTTTACACATTCTACAGAACACGCAAGCAGCTTAAAGTAGCCACAAACCGCAGACTCCTCTGCCTAAGAGATTATTAACATGAGGAAAAGCTCCCTTCTAAATATTAACAAACACAGCTGCTACCGCCAGAGCGCTGTTACCCTGGAGAAACCTTGCGTTCAACCCGGGAAACTCCCCGTTAGAAAAAGAATTATAGTCATGGCCGGATTGACTTAGTGATAAAAATTCACCGTAATAGATAGATCCCTTGATTTTTCAAAATGCACTTCGGAGCCATCCACACACATTTGCAGCTTGGATACATCTAAGCTATTTTTTTAAGTAAGAATTGGAGAGTATTCATTAAATTCGTCCCTTGGGGAAGATTACTGCTAATTAATTAATTGCAAACATTTCCAGAGGGAAGGTATGTCAATTGTAAGGTAATAAAATTAGAGAGTCGAAATACTTACTCAGCAACTTTGATTGCCCATTTGTTCCTAAGCAAAAAAAAAAAAAAAAGAATTTTTTTTTTTATGACAGAAAAATGGGGCTAGTGGTGGAAAAAAGGCATTAACTCTGTCCCTTGGTGATATGGTTGCAAAGGAGAAACTACCATATAGGAATTATTGATTTTTAGCTGATTTATAAGACCTCTGTGGTATCAATGCGGCGCGCAGGGCCTCCAGGCCTACTTCTTGTCTTTGCTCTTTAGGATTAGAGAAAAGCAACATGATTTTTAAAAACAAAAAGGAAAGAGTGTGAAAAGCAGTGGTGAATAAAACCGGGAGATAGGACCATGAAGATATCTCAGCATTTTTCTTCTGTGGAAAAGGAAAGAGTGTGTTTTCTGTTGAGGCACCTTTTCTATTGTCTTCAAACTTGCTTGTATGGTTTTAGGTGGCTTCTCTTAGGATGTTTCCCGGGGAGGAAGGCCTGCTGCATCTCTCTGGTTTTCTAGCCTTGGGAGACCTTGATTTAATAGTACCTTCCCAAGGAGAAGCTGCGCCCACAGCAAACCTTCCCTCTGTGGCTGACATTTGATCACTACCAGCTTGAGCAGTTAGTGGGGGTCTCTGAAAATGGTTGCTATACAATGTGGCTACTCTTCTTGTTATTTTGGGACCCTCGTAGCAAAACAAAGCTAGTCAGTTAAGCCAATACCAACCTCTGTCTGGCAGCAACCTCAGGTGAGAAGAAGTCTGTTTCTTGCAAAGTCTCATCCAGGAAAGCTGGGGTGGTATACGCTTTCCTCCGGTGCTCTGGGCTTCTCCACCGACGAAGCTTTTCATTGCTTTGTTCAGCACTGATTAATTTAGTTTCAGAGAAAAATCCCCGATCGTATATGTGTACACATAGAATTTTATTGAAGCAAGTAAATAAATCCATCCAATACAGACCCTCTCAGTTATATTTAAGGGAGTCATTCCACCTGAAGTGTTTTATACAAATGACATAGACTATTTTGCGTTGTGCAACATGCCTGATAGTTTCTCTAGCTGCTCATTAAAACAAATACGAAACAAAGTAAACAGTCAAAGGCCTATTTGTACCAGAGAGCGTGCTAATCCACATTGTTTATTTGAAGCTCATATTGTTTTGCTTTAAACGCATTAAAGTCCCCAGAGCAGGCAGAGTACAGGATGTGTGTTTGACAATAAACTTGAAGGCAAGTATCACAAGAAACAAGCAAACACGCAAGAAAAGGGAAAACAAATCATCTCGCATTATTTTGGGTGAAAAATGTCTATAATTTTCTAAAGATTTACAAAGACAGCAGATTTTACAGGGGGAAAGATAACAACATGAAATGCCCTAAATCAACTTTAAATGCCTCAAATCACAGACGGAATGAATGAGTATGGGGCATAATAACAGAGTTGAAAATGTGCTAAATTATATTTTTTAAGAATGGATCTTTTTTTTAGTGACTGTTTTTGAACTGAGAAGAATAAAATTTCCTCAAATCTATGCATGAATGAACAAGCGCATCTGGACAGATGCATCTATAATTTATACTGATCAGTCACCGCAGGTCTCGCCGAGTAAAGCCGAAATGAACACTAATTGTTTTGACGGAAGTCGTGTGCATGGCATCTGATTGTGACACACGATGAGCCCCTGCCTTGCCTGAATACATATTGTCGACAGCGACTCTGGCATCGGAGGGAAAAATAAAAAGCCACTAATTCCTAGATGAGAATGTTGATGTCTCTTGTCAGAAAGGTGACAAATAGAAAGAATTAACCTCTTTGGGATAAAGTAAAAGATGAGACCGAATGCAGAGATTCTAGTTTGCCAGCATTGTACCCAAGCTTAGAGTTAAAATTGATGGGCTGTTAATAGTCATAAAAATCCTTTGCATTTGTTGAGTGTTTGGGAGCTACCCTAAAACATTTCTGCTTTATCTTATTTAAGGCTCACGATAAGGATATCGGAGAGGTGGAAAGCAAGTTCAAGATCACGTAGGCAGGTAGATGACAGAGAAAGGACCAAAATGCAGATGTCCTGATTTGGGGGTCTTTCTACACAACCATATTTCAAACACATATAAAGCATGTAAAGCCAGACACAGCCAGGAGATGTTGCTAACTCCAATTGGACTGCGAGAATTGCCATTTCGTGTGCTGTGACAACACAGTGTGATTTAGCAGAGAAAATATCTAAAGAGATGCCCTTGTAAGGAGGTAGGTTTGGGGCCTGTACCACGTGCTTTTATATCAATCTGTATGATGAAAGAGCTTATGCACTAATTTGGGAATTTTAGAAATTTAATATGAATCATTAATGAAATGGCAAATCGCAAACACACCCAGCTGTGACTGATATGTATGCAAAATAACCCAAACAGCCACTGGATAAAAATCAAAAACAAAAATAAAAACCCTCCTTAAAAAAAGAAATGTAGCCAATATAGCATGTCTATATCTACACTTAAAAACAACCAATAGAATTTCATTACTGACTTTTTTCAGGAAGAGGGATTTTTGTTTTAAATCTTTGCTTTTTGCATCAGTAGGTTGTGTGTGTGTGTGTGTTGGCGGGGGGTTGCCGCATTAACTTCTCACTTTCAAAGCAGTTTTTATGTATAGAAATTCTTCATTATTTTTATCCTGTGGATGATGGCATCTTGCTAATGATAAGCTCCAGGCATCTGATGTGTTTTCAAGGAATTAAACTTTAAAGTAAACAACAGATGCATGGATTTGAAAACCAGGGAATAGTTTTTGAAGCCTAAGTCTTTGGGGAAAGAAATGCATGTAGGAAGCAAAGACGTTAAAGGGACAGCATGCAGGGACTCACCGGGATACGATACCATACCCCTTTGTTCCTTGTGTGACAGGGCCTAGGAGTGGTTCTTGAGTGCACAATCAGGGAATGGACAGAATCATGGCCTAGACAAATGGGACAGTGAGCCGCAGTGTTGCTGGCTCCGGCTACATCAGGGGCTGTGTGCTTTTGCGTACAGCTCTCTAACTGAAGCCTTGCTAACCCATAGTTGATATTTCGTCATTCTTCGCCCGGAAGGATTTCACTGCTGTAGACTTTATGGCTTCAATTAAACTATAAGCAGCTTTGAGCCGTATACATCTTCATGTTCTCATCAGCCTTCCCCCAGTATTCTCTTTCCCTGTGGTTTCTCCTCCTTTTACAGCCGAGCATTAGAACTGGCCAGGAGCCTTCTTCTTTGTGCCACCTGGGGTCCACTACTTTAGGGAAGCTGGGACCATTTGTGATGTCACATGCTGGCCATGGTAATTTACGACAAATCTTCACAAATCAATAAAAATATGGAAAGTATATCATTTTTAAAGAAAAAAAAAGAGAGAGAGAGAAACACATGAGACATGCCCCATTAAGGGCATAGCTATTCTAATACCTGCATGTCTGCTCGGGTCTGCGATTAAAAACATTCTGATAATAAATCTCCTTTCAGTCTCTTTTAATGCTTTTAACTTTCCTGAGGGTTCAAATTGGTATCCCAAAAATGTGCCAGGACATTCACAAGGTATTTTATAGACTCATAA